GTGAATTTCATGTTTTTATTACAAAGAAGGATCAGTAAATATGTAGAAATCTGGATGACTTCTGAAAACCACTAATAGTAGTTAACTCTGGATGGTAGAATTATATATAACTATCTTTTCTAAGCTATATAAGCAGGAATTTCTTTCCTAATCAGAAGCAACAAAGACTATAAGGTAATCACCTTAAGAAAACAGAAGTATTTAAAACATTTTAGAAAACGATGGGGCTGGGAAGGTGGCTCAGTAGTAGAGGGCTTGCCTTGCATGCCTGAGGCCCTGGGTTCAATTCCTCAGCACCATATAAGCAAAAAGAAAAAAGCCGGAAGTGGTACTGTGGCTCGAGTGGTAGAGCGCTAGCCTTGAGCTAAAGAGCTGAGGGACAGCGCCCAAGCCAAGAGTACAGGCCCCATGACCAGACCCCCCCCCAAAAAAGAGAAAACTATGGTACCAATTTATGGTAAGTGCCTTATGAACTATTGTGGACCGTGTTCAACCATGTCAGGTTGGATGGACACGTTGTCACTGTACATGAGCACCACACACTCTCTGGGACACATTCTCCAGTGTGGTGAAAATAATCTTTCTGAATCCTAGTCTTTCATTCCGACCACTGAAATGAACTTCATATATGCCACTATTGGAGTTTTTATTCAAGATTTTTGTTTCTATAGCCCCATTTCCTAATTGAAAATGTATTTGCTTGTGATGCATTATAATTGGGAGAATCAATAGTTTTCTCTTACAAGCAATATTTAGATTTTAACCCTACTGGCTGATATTTGAAAGCATAACCATGCTCCTTAGTCCCAGTGTGTTGTTTGTAATTGGTCCAATTTATCTGATTCAGGTGCATTGTGGCCAGGTATGAAACCTGAAAGTGGTTTAATTCAGACTCCATCTCCAAGCCAGCACAGTGTTCTTACCTGCACTACAGGGTTAACCACAAGCCAGCCAAGCCCAGCACATTATTCTTATCCCATTCAAGGTAAATAGGCATGGTTGTGTGTGTGTTTTAATTATTACTGGGTTTTTTTGTTTTTAATCGACCTGTATCTCCAAACAAATTGGATAATACAGGAGCTCTGACTGCTAAAATAGAAAGGGGCCGTGATATGCATTTGTGCATGCCTTTTGTGTTAGGCAAACCAGAATCAAAGGGTATGTTTTATAAGTCATTCAGGCTTTGAATGTGAGCTGTTTAATAGATTTGAAGCCTTTCCTTTTGCATGTTAGTTTCCAGAAAAGCTCTTTGCTTTTTGTGTTGGTCAGCTCTCAGTGGAATTCTGTCCTATAAATGAGCAGACTCCATGGGTCAGAATTGTGCTGACTTCTTTTATGTGAATTATTAGAGTGGCATGTGAGATGTGATGCTTTCTGCTGTGGTTTTGTCATACCTGCCGCCGTTCATTTACTACTTTCTGTTGAGAGCATTTGTTTCTCTTGCTCAAAAAGTTCATTGCTTTTTTAGCCTGGTGGCTCATGCCTGTAATCCTAGCTACTCAGGAGTTAGAGATCTGAGGATCACAGTTCAAAGCCAGCTCAGGCAGGAAATTCTGGGAGACTCTTACCTCCAACTAACCATTAAAAAAAAAAAAAAAAAAAGCCAGATCTGTGGCTCACGTAGTAGAGTGCTAGCCTTGAGCAGAAAAGCTCAGGGACAATACTGAGGCCCTGAATTCAAGCCTCTGGACCTATAACAACAAAAATAAATAAAGGTTCATTATTTTTAAAAAGTTTATTATTAGGCTATGGCTATGGAAGAGTGCTTGCCTCAAAACAGTAACAACAACAAAAAGTTTGTGGTTGTTTCTGTTTCATGACGAAAAGCAAATTCAGTGCAGTGTCTGTAGAAACTGAGAAGTAGCGTCTGTGTGCCTGAATTCTTGTGTGCCCATTTGTTTGTTTTGTTTTTTGTTGGTTGTGGGGCTTGAACTCTGCGCCTGGGAACTATACCTGAGCTTTTCAGCTCAAGACTAGCACTCTACCACTTGAGCCACAGCCACTTCTGGCTTTTTCTGCTTATGTGGTGCTGAGGAATTGAACCCAGGGCCTCATGCATGCAAGGCAAGC